GTTGACTTTTTATTTATTTAATAACCCAAAGACGTTTCCTTTCGTCAGATTTACGAAGCGGCAACCAAAGAATGTTTGGTCCTTTTGCTTGATTTAAACTGTTAATGGATTATAAAGATTATTTTCTGTAAATCAGCTTATTTAACTAATCTTCTTAGCTGTAACAGCAATAGTAGATGCAGACTACCTCCATACTACTATGTTTTCATTTGAAACAGCATTATACATCTGCTGTCCACACTGCTCCAGAGTTTTAAAGCTGCTAAAATGGAGAAGTTTGGAAATGGCTGCCAGCCCAATTTTTGTTTGAAAATGCCTGTCTGACATGGACACTCACAGCCGGTTGCCATCGCTGATTCATAAGGCTCCTATCAAGTGATCCTTTTCTGGAAGTACACAATCTGCATTGCCTTGGTTAACATCGAGAACACACATTACATGTGTTGCTTATTCTGTTATTCTTGCAGACAGTTGTTGTGCATTGAAACTCTACATTTAACAATGTCACAACTGCTTACATGCATAGAAGACAAGCTGTTATTCGAGCAATCTGCTTAAACGCACGCCACGTGTAAGGGGTCAAGTGATTTGCATTTTCAGATGTGTCAATATTGACATGGATTAAAACTGATAGGCGCCAAAACTGTCATCCACATCTGGACAAAATTTGTGGACAAAATTGTTCTTGCTTGAAAACGTAATAGCATAGATGTAGCTGCAGTATAAGGAGCAGTATGTATGATTTTACAGTGTTGAGTTGTCTCACCTGGCGTGTCAGCACAAAGTAGGCATACATGGCCATGGCTGTGCCATAAGTGATAAAGTAGGTGACGGGCTCCATGATATCCCAGGAGTATTCCCACCAAGTGAGCCGGGCCAGGATCCCGAACTGGGTGGCCATGTAAGCCATGCCTCCCCACAGCACCCAGGTGGTACGCCGCTCTGCCTTCTTACTCAACTCCTCCCTCACCTACACAAGTCAGATCCATGACAGACAGCCAGACATAAAAAGGACATTTACATTCAGACCTTACTGAGGAAATTACTTTACCATTTTTTGGCACAAAAAAAGCATTTTAACAGATAACAATTTAATTATCATGACATCGATTTTCTCATAACAGGGAAGACAAATTAATTGTTTTGCCGATTCCCCAACTTGATAGCCCCTGAAGCATCTCGCCTGATGACTCAACTGGCCGGGACGTCTTAAGCCAGTAATTTGTAAATTGAAACAACACCTGAAATCTCAATAGTAATAATGACGAAGTAAAACACTTGCAGATTGTAAAAAGACATTAAAAATTCTAATCAACTTTTCATTGGAAGTATGCATATTCTTTTTTTCATATGGTCACATGTTTCTATTCAATTACGTGTCAAAGTTTTGCTTAAACAACAGAAATGCCAGTGGGGAGACCTTTTCTAAAGGGCGGATTTGAGAGTTGAGGTCCTCCAGTCGTCCAATCAGCTCGCGCTCTTTGCTAAGTTGGTGGTCCTCGATGCGCAGGGTGGTGTAGAGCTGCTGCACCAGGAACTTGACGTCGTTCAGCCTTTCTGCCTCCTCGTGGGGCAGCAGCTCTGAGGAACAAAAGCGAATAAATAAAACAGGTTTTACCACAATCCACATGTAAAACAATAAAAAACCCTCAATCCGTCTCACTGGTGGTGAGCCAAACTGTGAGTGTAAAAGCAAAGGTCTCTGTGACAGTCCTCACCTCTCCTTGGTGGCCGCACGAGGTGTGTGGTGTCATTGATGACGAGTTTGAAATCATCCAGCAGCAGGATGTCTATACCCGTGGAGGAGGCAACCCTCGCTCCATCTGGATGAGGAGGGAGGACAAATGGGAAAAGAGGCGGTAAGAGAGATGGAGTGTTGATGGGCATCCACTTCAAACACCCTTAAACCTCTCGATAATCAGACAGCAATGAGCCTGATTATCGAGAGAGGTCAAAGCAGATGCACTTACACACTAAGAGCCAGATTTCAAGTACCAGTTGTTCCCGTATAACGAGCCCTCTGAGCAGAGTGAGGGCTGAAAAATCCTCTCATGGTGCATACATTGATGTCTGAATCTGGATAAAAGCCACAGCTGCAGGAACACCTCATAGCCTCAATATGTAAAAACACCTGAAAGCTTGTAAGGGCCTGCATATGTATGACCTGCTTGGGTAAATGATTATACTCTGGGTGTGTTTGTGTGCATACCTATGGAGTAGATGGCTACCCGGTCAATGCCTCTGTCCTCTGCCTGGAGCTGTTGCAGGAAAACTCCCACACAGTCACTGAGAGGCTTGAGGGTGAACTGACAGCGCTCTCGCCTGGAAGGCAAACTGACTGAGATCACCGGCAGTCCGTTCTGATACACCACCGTCACCTCTGTGAGAAAGGTCGGAGGCAGGAAAAAAAACATGAGTCAAAATCAATGTCACAAAAGAAGAAAATGTAAAATGACACCCTGAGGTCTCAAATGAACCATGGAATTGTGTTTCCATGTACTGCTGCTCCCTCTGGGTGTTTGTAGTATTTAGTATGAATGCATTAGCGGCAGTTCATTGTTTGTTTTGCTCTGTATGTTTGTCTTGGTTTTTTCTGGATTATTACATTTTGAATATGTGCAGAAAAATCATGAATGACTTCCAAGGTGAACTCTGGAAACTGCCAAATAACCAAAAACCATCCATAACAACGTTACAACAGTTCCACTTCCAAATGTGCTAATCTCCTGAAGGGGTGGGCTGCAGCCAATCACAGCTATCATCGGGTGAGAGGCGGGGTCACACCCTGAATTCATCGGCTTTCCATCAGAGGACTGACATCAAGAGGCAAACAATCAGTCATGCTCACATTCACACCTACGGGCAAAACTGTGGGAGGAAGCTGGAGAAAACACACCAGCATAGGGAGGGCATGCTAACTCTACACAGAAAGGTTTGAACCCAGAACCATCGTGCTGTGAGGAGATTTTGTTATGCTAAGTTCAAGTTGACTTTTCTGCAGAAAAGCTTTCAAGGAGGGTGGTTTGAGACCCAGCAGGGGGCAGTACAACGGCAGCTCCACCTGTTGGAGGAGTTCAGCGACAGAATAACCAGACTATGTGTAAATTCTTTGTCAGCATACTCTCCTGAAACTGATGTGTCACTGTTGTAAACACCACATATATATATACATATATATAATCTATAACAAGGTAGGTTAAGACTGTTTCTAATTCAGGAGGTTTTTGTAATATAAACTCTGATTTGTTTCACCTCCATGTACCTGCTGAAGGCATCAAAATAAGCCCATGTGGGCCTTTCAGACCCTGAGAATCAATACAGCATAACATTGCTAACCTTCTCCTCACAGAGCAGCTATTTTGATTCGTTGAGCCAACTATTGATATTCCTTATTCCCACAGAAAGACTAAAAAAACTCTAAATAATGCTTGTGTGGTGGGACTTATGATCAAACAGACCTTGAGCTACATATAACAATCCATTCATTGCTTGAAAGGTTTTTCATAACAGCGAATAAAGAAAGAAAAAAAAAAAGGAAGGACTCAGAGGGCAAACAGAAAACATTCTCGTCATGAATTTTGACGTCTGTGGTGATTTAGAACTTTTATTTGTCCTTGCAGGTTTTTAAGCACCACCATAAGGATTGTCACTTTGTAAAACCACACAGCCGAGCCAGTGTTTTGCTCAGTGGCATTTTTTCCTAGCATGGTAACAATGGTGTGCAATCCAGCTCTTCTGGTCTGTAACCAAACAGGTTCCAATGATCCTTCACAGCTTATACAAGTATCATACTGAGTGGCCCCTAATGACAGGGCCATGCATCTACGCTTGCGAGCCCACATAGGAGCGGGATCCAAGCAGCAACCTCTCCCTCCTGCTCAGGACCACTGCAGTGAATCAGCAGATCTCCACTTGGGCTCACACCAAGAAGTGACGGATCATCGTGTAGCGCGGGCGGCTCAAGCAGGAGTTTCTGGATCATGTTCAGAGACAAAGAGGCGCAGACATTTCATTGCGCACCGACTTCTTCATTCATTACAGTGACAATTTGAAACATTGCCCCGAGTGCCTGTGCTGTTCTCCTCCTGCACCTGCTCCCTTTGTCCTGCTTTATCTGAGCATCACAGGCACATCACTGAAGGTGTGAGGATCCTGTGCCAATCTCCGCTCCAATGCCCCAGCTATTAATGCTTTAAAATCAAATCAGCTTGTACCGTAATGCTGCGGCCTTCTCCTTCCAATCCTCTCCTACCTCCCTTTTACCCCCCCCCGTCTCCTGCCTCTCACGCAGACGAGCAGCTGCTACCCCGAGACAGATTTCATATTAATGACTACTGGCTGTAACTCAAAAGGCCTCTTCTGTCTGATCAATGAAGAATTACTTTCTGGTACAAATATTATTTTTCTTGGATGGTGGCCTGGCCTGGATTTGGGGGTTTGATTTGAAAAGGGATACGGCTCTTCTGGACTTACCTTCTGGAGCAGCGGAGGAACACAACAGTCTCTGGCCATGCCATGAGGAGCCGCCCCTCCAAACCTGCAGACAGGAAGAGAAACGTGGTAAATCCACTTGTACAGAGCTCCCTCTTATCTAACAGTTCTGTTCTGCTAGTCATGTGACACCAGCCTTATCTATTTACCTCACTCATGTTCATGTGTGGCTGACCATTGATCATGTTACAAAATGGCTCACTCTGTTCCTTTTTCCACAAATGCAGATCGCAGCCACACCCAAGAAACACAGATTATCAGATAGGCCCATGCAGAAACGACCACACACACACACACTCTCTCACACACAGCCTATCATATCTAAATACACCAGCATCCAAAAACAGAAACCAGGATGAAGACAGCACAGTGGGAGACACGAGAAGGAGGCAGCCAAATGCAGCTTGAGTAACAACAGTGTGGTTAAGCATGAAGTCTCCACTTGTTCTTCCTCACTCTAGACTAGCAGGAGGAGAAGGAGGAGGGGAAGAAGACCAACGGAGCAGCAGAGCTTGGGGAAACCCTCCCGTTTTTTTTCCTCTTCAGTAAAGTGCTCATTTGCTTTGCGTATGTTTTGAATTACAGAGCTCTTCTTATTTTCCTTCTTATTTTCCGCTCAGCTACGATGGAGCCTTTTTTTATGTTAGAGCTCCTCACACTTGTGGAGAGAAAACACAGGGTGAGGACCAGACATCGGAAATTAAATATGAAGAAAGTGCGCCAGCAAAAACATAACTTTTTCGATAAAAGTTTTATTTGTGCGTACATGCACAAACAAAATATGTCTCTGTTTCTCTGCAGACTGGTCCTAATATTTAATAAGCGCTGCCCACAGCTATGCAACACTGTCGTATTGTGACACAATACAAACACATTACTTTCTCCTAAGAGTGCAGTGTCACCACTGAATCACACACACACACACAATCAGTTAACCCTGCGGTTTCTGATGAAATACACTGGACTGCTTTCTCACTATCAACAGACCTCACTGCATTTTACCCAGCATGCAGCAGGCCTCAGTGTGATGCACTCACCCAGCGTACAACTGCTGTATTATCAGATTAACAATATGCACACTCTCTCTGACCCTTACAGAGATAAATCACAGCAGCAGACATTCATGAGTCTCGCGGCTTCACTTTTTATGACTGCACCGACAATTATAGACCAAAAATATAGAAGGTGTATATGTGTATTTATGTATACACACACACTATCACTGCAACTAGATGCATTTTTCAATTCCACATCACTGAGCTAGGCACAAACACCGTGGATACCATTCTACCAATCAAAGCGTTTACATGCCGGACGGTCGAAAACTTCAGAGAAACGAGATCAAGGCGAGGCTGCCAGCAATAAAGTCAGTGTTGTGAATACTAAGACAAGATTTTCACTTCTCAGGAGGACTGATATCCTGGTTAGCAACAGAAGAAGCTCAAGTGTACTATTTTTTCCACTGTGTGATTCATGAAACAGCCCAGAGACACAAGTGAAGACTTTGGGAATTTGTGATTCGTGTTTCATGTTTCAGGATAAAAACCTTTATGGTTAGTTTTGTGTGTCACGGATAACAGTTTGTATAAAGTTCAAATTTAGAGAAGTTTAGTCTGATTTATGGTGAAGTGAAAGCTGTCTGAACTTTACTGCCACAGTCACACGTCATTAAAACAGACTCAAGACTCAATCGGAAAGTGTTTTTTTTTTGTGAGAGGACAGTGGGGGCACAGCAGTGGGACTCACTGTAATCCCAGCGTCAACCTGACAAACACTGCTGCCAATCAACCACTGCTGATTAAATGTCCCGGCTGTCAATCAGAGAATGTGACCGTCAATCAGATCTTCTCTGTTGCATGTTGTAAGCCCCCAAAGAGAAATCAGAGTACATACTGTACCTCCACAAGGCCAAACAGACGCCCAATAAAACCACATATTAAGCGGGTCCAGGTCTTTATTTGGATCAGTACCAAATTGCACACACTCGTAAATATCAGTTCTCTAAACATGCGAGTGATGCAGGACTGATACAGTGACTTCTGCTGTGAACCATAAGGATCACAGGGGAGTGTGAATGTGTGTCTACACATCAGGACTGTAAAAGTCTCATTTAAACATCACCAGGCCAAACATGACTGAACTTGACAGTAACTCCACTGTGTGAGTGCTTGTGTGTGTGTCTGTGTGTGTGTGTGTGTGTGTGTGTCCAGAATGAGAATACTAATTACAGTCCCGTGGCACCAAGAAGAGCTGAAACAGTCGATCAGATGACATGCTGAGATAGGAGTTTCGGCTGGTCTGGGATAACTGCACAGTTTGCAGAGAGCGGTCCAACAAAGCTTTGTTCATTCATTAACTTCAGCTGCTTGAAGCCAGGAGGAAAGATTTCATCGAGATACGCACAACACACCGAGGCACAGGACACCGTCCCAAACACATGCAAATACGCTGCTAGAGTGTGTGTTTGTGTGTGTGTGTGTGTGTGTGTGTGTGTGTGTGTGTGTCCATCCGTCTGTTCGCCAGCCTGTTTGTCAGCGGTAGTTGCAGAGGAACTGAGACGCCCCCCACCACCACCACCTTCCCCATCCCTCCCTCGGCACACAGCCACTGAAACGCTGCCTGAAATATTTAACAGCAAAGCAGCAGTCAATAGCACAGCAACCTTGGAATCAATGTCATACAGCTAAGAGAGAGAGAGAGGGAGCAAGAAAAAGGAAGGAAAAGGGGGCATTGAGGATGGCTGGTGGAAGATGGACAGACGAGCTGGAGGAGGAGGAGGAGGAAGAATGCGAGGATAAATGGAGGAGCAGCAGGGGAGCGATAGAGATAAATGAAGGCTGGAGTAAAGAGGGTGTGAGTCACGAGTGCGCTTGCGTTTCTAACCATGTGCTGCGTATACTGTACCCTGCAGCAGACAATACCCTCCCCACTGAAACGTGACTATCGTATGTGTGTGAGAGGGATGGTGGCTAGAGAGGGAGGGAGAAGAAAAGAGAGAGCCGTGAGTGTGAGGGGAAAGCAAGTGGGAGGGAGGAGGGGAGAGGCAGACTTGCCAGGAGGGGAGGATGGAGGGATGGAGGAGAGGGGGACTGCTGATCACTGCAGTAAAGGAATCCCTCGTCTAGAAAGGGGGGTTGCCCCTCAACTTCACCCTCCCCCTCCCCTCCCCTTCATCTCCTACTCACAATGAATCCTGATGTGCCGGGTTTTGATCTTCTTTCAATTCTCATCTGCACTGCGCATTAGCGTCCTCTGCATTTTACCACGAGCTCACGTGTGCTTTTTCTCTTGAATTAAAAAACTCCACACTCCACAATTTAGAATCTCATTGCCAGTGTAGTAAATGCACTGCGAGCAGGGACCCAGTAGATGATACAGGTAATATTGTGGGGGATGAAACTAAATTGGAGTCACAGGGGGAAAGCATGCTGCTTCTTCTTCACGGCTCTAATATATTAACTGTCTCTCTCTCTATGCTCCAGGGTGAGGGGTCCTGTGCAGAAGGTGATGAATTAAAGGAAAAACCAACACTAAAGCCACTTCAGTGGTCACAAAACCCACTGACACCCACTAACATCAGGCTGGAGAATGGACACAATGTGCATTCACTCCCGGGTCAAATGACTGTGGAGTGCAGTGGACACGAGTTTCTATCGGCTCCAGCTGCCATCGCAGTGATGGAAAGACAACAAAAGGGTGAACACGCTGCTTTGGCAAGACAGCGAGGTGAAAGAGCACCTCAGTTTCGGTGCATCTGTGACGTGGAGCATGACGAATCAGGAAAGACAATTTTTAGAAGGTTTAACCGTGCTTAAAAAACCCACGAACACTTGCTAATTAGACATAAAAGTGTCCTTGTATAAGGCGTCTTATACACGTGTCAACAGAGCAGCAGTATCTGGAACTTCTTCCCTCATTTGGTGTTTTAGAGATGGTGGTGGAGAGCCTGTGTAACAAGACAGTCCAAAATGTCCCTAGACATTTAATTAAGTTGAGATCTGGTGACTGCAAAAGGCCACAGCATTTGATTCACCCTCGTGCCCTGTGGATGAGGACACTGTCATCCAGTTTCTTCACTCTTTTTTCAGATTGTCCCTTTAATCTGTCACTCGCCTGTGTATTGATCTTTTGTAAAGATTAATCCTTCTCATAAATCACCGCCCTGACAATCTCACACAGATGTGCCAGTTTTTATGGAAAAGGAAGAAAGAAGAAAGGAAAACCCTCCCATTCATACATTAGAACCAAAGGAGGGGACTGAAACTGCTGCATCTCGGTCTACTATCAATATCTCCCCTATGTGCAAACTGTTTCCACTTGCTGTGTTGAATTTCAGCAACATAATGACATTCTTGTCCTCATTTCAGTCCAGATTATGTATGTATGCAAGATTTAAGAGCCTCCTCCCCCAGCACATTCACAGAACCTGTTGGTGCAGCTTTGAGGTTTGGTTTTAATCAAATGTGTTCACCCAATCTAAAGCATAATCAAGTTATTTCAGGAGAGGTGTCTGTGTGATAAAATGTATGAGGTTTAAAGGGATGACTGAAAGAATGTGAAGAATTGCCGGCTGTTGTCATGGTAACTGACGTCAAACTGAGTATTTCAAATGCTTCATCTGCATCAAGAAGGTTATGTTTTCATCACTGTCTGTTAGGCAAACTGAAAAACTGCTGCAACTGAGTTCCATAACATTTTGTGCAAGGGTGTGGCAGGGCCCAAGGGATTCAGGGCAAATCAAGGAATTTGTTTAAACATGGTGTTAAAATGTGCATACATTTTAGAAAATATTTGTATATCTGATATCAAATACCTCTCAGCATGTAATATGTCGATAATGTTAGAGGTATGTGCTCCCTATTAATATGATTATCATTGCATATGCATTACTACAAAAATAAAATTGAAATAGCCGATGAAATGAGAAAAAGAATTCCAACACAATTTATTACTTGTTAACATTAATAATTATTGTTTTTCTCAGAGAACAACATCTGATCTTGTGTGGTATTGCACTGCATATTGCATTCAAATTACCAGCACTGA